CCTTAGTGTCTTTTTCCATGTTATCCCAGTAATACCCTACTCTAATGATTTTGTGAATCAAAGACTCGGCGCCGGAGTGGTTTCCACAAGTGCCTTCGTGGATCTCTCGTAAAACATAATCGGTGTCCCTTGGCCCTAAACATACCGCCATTGGTCCATCGAACTTCCTTCTGCATAGTTCCATCTTCATCTAATGTGAACCGAGCAACTTTGGTTCGTAGGGCCCTCGACTCTTTATGGTCCGATGGCAGCCTTCCATTCTTTAAATATTCAATATATTTATTCCTCCAATCCCAAGTCAAACTTGTAGAATTTATCTCGGCATGAACCTCCTCGACCACAGATCTCGATTTTGGACGACAGTCCCCGAGATAATATCATCTTCCTCGACTAATGACCCCAAGTTTGCAAGTGGATCGGCCCCACTGTTTTGTTCTCAAGGTACATGGTCTAGAGTCCACTCCTTGAAGCGGTGCAAGGTTACCTGTAGCTTGTCCAAATACCTTTGCATCATATCCTCTCAAACTTCGAAGCTTTTGTTTACTTGGTTCACCACCAATAAAGAATCGCACTTGGCTTCAATGACTTCTGCCCCGAAGCTTTTAGCTAGCTCGAAACCTGCAATCATGGCCTCATACTCGGCCTCATTGTTAGTCAACCTAGAAGTTTTGATAGATTGTCTAATAGTGTTACCTGTGGGTGTCTTCAAAACAATGCCAAGCCCGGACCCTTTCACATTTGAGGCACCGTCCGTGAAGAGGGTCCATACCCCCGATGATGTACCAGATTTTAGTAGAAGTTCCTTTTCCACTTCGGGTATGAGGGTTGGCGTAAAATTGGCCACGAAGTCTGCTAAAATTTGAGACTTAATGGCCGCTCGGGGTTGATATTCGATATCGTACCCGCCAAGTTCGACGGCCCATTTGGCCAATCGGCCTGATAACTCCTGGCTTGTGCAAAACATTTCGGAGAGGATAAGTGGTTATCACACATATGGGGTGACATTGGAAATATGGCTTTAACTTTCTAGATGCGCTTATTAATACAAATGCCAATTTCTCTAAGTGTGGATATCTAGTTTCAGCATCTCCTAAGGTCCGACTTACGTAATAAACAGAAAACTGCGTACCTTGCTCTTCTCGAACTAGTACACCACTTACCGCTATTTCGGACACTGCCAAGTATAAGTATAGCTTCTCTTCTGCCTTCGGAGTGTGGAGCAGAGGTGGACTTGATAAGTATCGCTTCAATTCCTCCAATGCTTGCTGACATTCCGGGGTCCATGCGAAATTATTTTTCTTTTCGAGTAAGGAAAAGAACCAGTGGCTTCGATCTGATGACCTCGAAATGAATCGGCCCAAGGTAGCTATCCGTCCGGTTAGACTTTGTACGTCTTTCACACTGTCTACGACGACGATTCCTCGACGGCCTTAATCTTATCGGGGTTGATTATGATTCCTCGATTTCATACCATGAAGACGAGGAATTTTGCCTGAGCCGACCCCGAAGGCACATTTTTCGGGGTTAGGTTTCATGTTGTACTTCCTCAAGATTTCGAATGTTTCCTGCAAATGAGTCAAATGGTCCTCTGTGCGCACGGACTTAACTAGCATTTCATCAATATAAACTTCCATTGACTTACCTATTTGTTCTTTGAACATCTTATTTACTAGGCGTTGGTAAGTAGCTCCTGCGTCTTTTAGCCTGAAGGGCATTACATTGTAACAGTATGTTCCGTACTTGGTGATAAACGAGGTCTTCTCCTGGTCTTCCGGGTTCATCTGAATTTGATTGTACCCGGAATAGGCGTCGAGAAAGGTAAGGATCTCGTGGCCAGCCGTGGCATCGATCATGCGATCGATGTTAGGCAGTGGAAAAGAGTCTTTAGGGCATGCCTTGTTTAAATCCTTGTAATCTACGCACATTCTAAGTTTGTTCCCCTTTTTAGGGACTACGACTACATTGGCTAACCATTCGGGGTATTTTACCTCCCGAATGGACCCTATTTTATGAAGTTTATTTACCTCATCCTTTATGAATGCATGATTCACCTCGGACCAGGGCATTCTCTTTTGCTTCACCGATTTGAACCTGGGGTCGAGACTTAGCCGGTGTGTTGTTATCTCCGGTGGTATCCCTGTCATGTCTAGATGGGATCAAGCAAAACAATCCATGTTATCGATAAGAAATTGAATGAGTTTTTTCCTGAGCTCGGAGGTTAACCCCGTTCCGAGGTATACCTTTCGTTCGGGTAGATACTCTATCAGTATCACCTGTTCCAGCTCCTCGACCATTGACTTGGTTGCATCTGATTCTTCGGGAACAACGAAAGTTCAAGGAGTAAGGAAATCCTCTTCTTCTTCTTTTTCGATTACCTGTTTCTCTGTTTCGGTCAAGGCTGGGGATGGTGATTGCTATTTGGCCATCTGCTTATCTTTGGTGCTCGATTTTTCTGAGGTCGAAGGTGCTGATATCGGCGTCACCTTGTCGACTGCAAACATTTCCTTTGCAGCGTGTTGTTCCCCGTAAACTGTTTTGACACCATCCATTATCGGGAATTTCAGCATTTGATGAAGGGTCGAGCCAAGTTGAATATAAAACCAGATTATGGTGAATAAAGAAAATAAAAAATAATATGATTCTGGAAAAAAAAATATATGAACAGAAAAAAAAGAAAAGAAACAAGGAGAAAAGAAAGAAAAAAAAACAAAGAAAACAAGAAAATGAGAAAAAAAGAAACAATTACCCATGCTGCAATGGGTAAGAAGGATAATTAGTTTGGTAGGTAGAAAAATCAATAAGTAGACAAAGATTATTAGTTTAGTTTTTGCGGGCAACGCTATAAAACTTCCTTTGGGAAAAGTTAGTATCTTTTACGTTTGGTTTCAGAAGAATAAATGACTAATTACGTTTCGTTTGGTTTGCTTATTATCATTAGGAGATTCAAGGCCTTTGACTGTATGCTCTTTGCCTTCATAACCTCGTTTATTTCTTATTTATTTGTACTAATATTTATCATTTCAACTGCTCCATTTCGCGTTTCTATCTATTTTTTATCTTTTCTGAAGAAGTTCATAAATACCTTTTAATAAATTTTAAAATCTAGTGTAGAGAGGATCGAGTTTTTTTATGAGTGCTACATAGTACGTACTACTTCAATTTTGATTTCTCTCTCCATTATAGACGGTACCCTCACAAAAAATAAAAGAAAATTAAAAAGCAATTATTGTGCTGAGTTTAAGTTGTATACAAAATTGCAAATGTTGTAAGATATTACAAAATCAAATTGGTTAAAAAGTAATTATAACCTCGTAGTTAACTCCATCTAATAATACTAATTGAATTCATGTCCTAGAATAAATAGTAAACTCTTATATATACAAGAATTTAAATTACGTGTAATATTTTTTTACACTATTGAGTGTTATACACCTCAAATAGGTTCATCTTACACAACATAAATTTCGAAGTTTGACTAGTTGACTCTGTATTGGGAACCATACATTCCAAAAGAATATTTTGTGAACGGAGCAGTGTACTCTTTCTACTCAAAGATTTGTTCACACACGAGATTAAGGTGTTCCATTGTCATGGTCATATCTAGAAGTGTCAAAATGGTTAAAACAAAACAGTTATACATCCATATTATCCATTAAAAAATGGGTTGGATCTAATGAACTTCTTAAAAAGAGTCGAATATGGATAAGAACCATATTATCTAGGGGTGTCAATGGTTCGGTTCGGTTGGTTATTTTATAAAATTTGTACCATACCAGTTTTCCGGTTATTCTATTATGTATAACCAAAATTAAACTTTTTGAAACTGTCCAAATCATGTCGGTTTCTCTTCGGATAGGTACGGTTCGGTTAATTGTTCTATAATTTTTTAAAATGTCATGTAAAAGTCACTAGTAGAAGTAAAATGCAATAACATACGCACTTTTATAGGACTTAGTAAAACTCTCTAGTATACTTTTATAGTTAAAAAGTGAATTAAGAAAATATGAAAGATGGCTAGAGTATAGATCCATCAACTATACTGCAGCAACGTAAAAGAAACTAGCAAATACAAAAAATATATAAATCACACGAGTGAAAAGATATTAACCAAGTTGGAATTCAAGAATAAAGTCAAGATAAAACATTCAAAAAGATAAATCAAATCACACGAAAGAAAAACATATTTAATACATTGTAGTTTCCAACTCATAATCACTACGATACTTATGTCTTGCTAGTGAATATGCTGGAAATAATTTAGTTTGAATAGAAGTAGCATAACAGGTTTGGGAATTAGGATTTTGAGTTTAATTACTTGTTGGCTTGTAATTATTTCATAATTTCAAGGCATAAGAAAAAATTTAATGCTTTATTATTTTTTTAACTTAATATATAAATATATTTTTCACATTGTAAATTTATTCGATATGGTTCGGTATCATAAAATAAAAATATACCCTAATTATCGGTATGGTTGTAGATGTATATAAAAACTTACGATTATATTAAAAGAAACCTAAAAATCGGTTCGGTGCGGTACGGTTCGGTCGGTCTAATCGGTTTTTAAATATCCATTGATACCCCTAATATTATCCACTTAGAAAATGGATAACCAAATGGATAACTAATGGTTTTAACTTTTATATTTATAAATCCTCAAATTGGTGTTCCTCAAGTTTGGGAGACTAGAATTCTTCCAAAAGTGATCATATTCAAGAAGTCATGGATAATATGGATATCCATATTATTCGCCCGGTAACCCAATTTTTATCTGTATTAAATATGGGTCGGGTTAGATAATTTATCCTTTTTTTTTTGAATTACCCGTTTCGACCCGCTCATATCCGACCTAATCCGCCCGTTTGCCACTGCTGGTCATGTCTTATACTTATTCTTTGTGTGTGCCTAGCTAGGAGTTACTAATTTTTTCTGCATGGTTCCAATTTTATCGTATGTCCCCGAAAGGACGTCATGTTCTATACTTGTATCGCATGACTTGCAGGATGAATTATGGGTTCTTATTACCTCATGCATGTTCATACTTTCAAATCGGCAATACAATATAAAGCACCTTAAAAAGTATTTCCTATCAAAACAATGAAAATACAACATTCCGTACATTATTGAAAGGTAAATAACTCGTCAAACTTATCTCCATTGGAGGAGTTCATTTGTCACTCTCTTTCTTTTTCCTTCAATTTATTGGCCATGATAAAATGGAAATTGCAATCTCACACCCCATTCGCAGAGTGTGCCTTCAACTATATATGAAAATGCAGCAGAATTAATCAAATGTCCCACTCAAGCTAATGAGCCTTTCCTATTAATTTTAGCAGCATCCTGCATCATATTGCATAATGTTATGATCTAACTTTAATGTTTAAGTAGTACATGAAGTTCAAAATCGTACAAAATTGAAGGGGAAAACAAAAAGACAACCTTGACTTAGGATGAAGGACACTTGAAATCTTTGGGTGGATACTTGCCACAATCATCAACAAGAACTTGAAGAGCAATAGGAAGAATGATGTTTATATTTAAGAGCTTGAGCCTAATGGTGGTGCAAAGACAGATGGCTGCATCCAAATCCACAAGTCCCATAAGAAGTGGACAGCATGTTTGCTTAGCACTGCCGCCGATACCAATGTGGATCAATCCCCCCAACACGTCCACACAAGCACCCAACTTAAGAGCATCAATGGGGCAAGTCTGCTGTGCAGGTGGTGATGGCACTATTGCCGGTGGTGGCGGCGGGCATGGTGAAGGCGGTGGTGGAGATGGCTTCACGACTGGTGGTGTAACAAACGGGGGATTTGGCACGTAGGGTGGTGGTGTTACCACTGGAGGGTTGGGTACAACGGGTGGTGAAACGACTGGTGGCGTTGGTGCTGGTGGTTTTGGAATGACAGGTGGTGAAACAACAGGTGGTTTTGGAATGACTGGTGGGGAAACAACAGGCGGTGTTGGTGCTGGTGGTTTTGGAGTGAAAGGTGGTGAAACAACAGGTGGTTTTGGAATGACTGGTGGTGAAACAACCGGTGGTGTTGGCGCTGGTGGTTTTGGAGTGACTGGTGGTGAAACAACAGGTGGTGTTGGTGATGGTGGTTTAGGCACAGAGGGTGGACTGACAGTGGGAGGTGGATGTACTACTGGTGGTTTTGGGACATATGGAGGTTTTACATGAGGTGGCTTGACATGGGGAGGTAGGGGTGGAGGGCATGGTTTTGGTGTAGGGTGTTTAGGGGTGGAAGGTGGTTTTACATGTGGGGGGTGTTTAGGGTAGGTAGGGGTAGAAGGTGGTTTTACATGAGGGGGATATTTAGGGTGGTGGGGGGTAGAAGGTGGTTTTGCATGAGGAGGTTGTTTGGGGTGGTGGGGGGTAGAAGGTGGTTTTACCTTAGGAGATGGATGTTTGGGAGGCAATTTTGGGTGTTTTGGAGTGGAAGGAGGATAAGGGCAATAAGGACATGCATGGGCAATGAACAAAGTTCCAAGTTGGAGAAGGAACAATAAAAATCTAGCTACATTGAACTTCTCCATTATTGGTAAGGAGAGGGGGAAAGTGTTGCCAAATGCTACCAAGAGAATGGTACACTATGGCATTTCCTCTAGCACTGCCTTTCTTATAGAGAAGATACTACTACCAAGTGTCTCTTTTTCTATTTCCTTTTAAACATTTCGTACTCTTATAGATTTAAGTAGGATAAACAAAGTTTTGCGGCTTTTTATAAATTTATTTTTAGTTTTATGACTCTATTTTTTTTTTTTATACATGAGATATTTACTTTTACACGTAAGAGATTTAAAATGATGATTATTTTTTTAAATTTAAAATTGTAAAGGGGTATGATGTGCAAATCAGGGGCGGACTCAGTCAATAGCTACGGGTTCCCGTGAACCCAGTAGCTTTTGTCTAGAGCCTGTATTTGTATTAAAAAATTCACTAAATATATAAGAATATTTGACTTGAAACCCACTTCGTTCATCCAGTTAGTATTATATATTAGCTCAGAGTTTTATAGGAACCCATAAACCTAAAATTCTGGTTCCGCCTCTGGTGAAAATAGCACCAAAAGATAGACTTACAATATCTTTCGTAATGCAATTGACTTGGCAGTAAATAGTAATAGTACCACTTACAATATATGACAAATTGGATAATATAGTAAGCTTTAATTTCTTTCTCAATTAAATAGCCATAACTTTTTGGCCTCAAATTTCAAACTTTGTCCAAGTGACAGTATGTGAATTGGAGAAGGGAAATGAAGTGCAGATTCGGACAAATTTGGCACTTACTTTTGCTGTTCAGTCCGTGATTTAGCTATGGGGAGACTGGACACTACATTCCAACCAGTCTGCCTTTTAAAAAGTAGCCTCCCATGAGCCACGTATGTCCTATCACTCTATTAGGGCATCTCCAACCCTTGCACTATTTTTTAACACCAAAATGGGGTAAATACCAAAATAGTACAAAGTAACTTCAACTCTTCTATATTATATTATTTTCTTTATAAAGAAAATCCTTTTTTTTCTTTTTTACATATATATCCTATATAATTCATATTTCTTTCTTATATAACCATTTAATATAAAATTATTTTATACTTTTAATTTTTAAATAAATATAAATTATAAGCAAATATTATACATTATTATATTAATGTATAATTCAAATAAAAATGAAATCAATGAACATTGTGTTATTTTTTTAACTTACAATTTTATATATTTAATTTTTAAATAAATATAAATTATAAGCAAATATTATACATTATACAGTTTTGTACTTTTTATTTTTTTATGGTTATATATTTTTACACAATTATAATTTCTAATAAAATTAACTTACAATTTTATATAAAAATAAAATATACGAAATTTAATTTACAAAAATTATACACCAAAATTAAAATATAAAATTAATATTATAAACATATTACATAAGAACCACAATTAATTACAAAATTATAATATGTTTAATTACAAAGTGTTATATAATAAAAGATAATATTAAAATAATGATGAATAGTAATGGTGTTGATGAATAGTGTTACACCAAATTTGGTGTAACACTATTCACATACTAAAATGGTGTAAGAAATGGTGCTGGGTTGGAGCAAAAAAATACCAAATCTTACACTAAAATGGTGTTTTGTGTCAAAATTGTTGTTGGGTTGGAGATGGTCTTATTGATGATATCTCTCTAAAATACTTTTTCAATCGTCTTAATTTATTTGATGTATGTCAAATATATCGAAAAACAAATAAATTTTATTAAAAGAAAATTTTTATTACAGTAAAATTTTATGTATTTTTAAATATTTTAAATTATTAATTAAATTAATTTATGTAAATATATAAAATTTATTCAAAAACTTAAAGATTATATGTCTGAATTTGCGATAAAACTAAAAAGCTGAACTCTTAAAATCTAAATTGTATCAAACAAATTGGATGTAAGGAGTCTGTATTTTAAAAGAGACATTTAAAAAGGACGTGTAATTGCCTTATAACATATAACTATAAGAGTATTTTGTCTAAACTAAATTAATAATCTTTTTCTCTTCAAATGCCTCACTAAATTAACATTCAAATTAGAAGGGTAGATTTGCATAAAATACTTTTCATTTTTTTTTTGGACCTGAAATATTCTGAAGTACATTAAATTTTTCATAAGACTAATATTGGTCAGAAATAGTAATTTGCTTAGGTTTCATTAAGAATTAACACTACAAATCACAATTCACAGCCTCCTTTCTTGAAATAACACGAAATCTCAGCCATTCATATGGCTGCTGTAGCTCAATATTATGGAATCCACTTAATGTTTAATAAATAAATGTAGGGATTAGAGATATGAATGGTCTTGACCTATGTTGCTCGAATCCTTCGAATTGTTGTTGTAATTGTGTCGGATCCTCTACAAATATTTAACTTTCATAGGATCTTACAATAAGCATTCATTGGTATTTTTAGAGGATCCGAGCAACTTAATTATGCCATAAAAAAGGACAACGCAATGCACAAAGCATCCCGCTTTACAGCTTGGTCCAGGAAAAAGCTGTACCCAAGGTGTATAATTTATGCAGCCTACCCTGATGCAAACATCAGTATTCTAATTTCACAAATCAGACTCGTCAGCTATAGGTCACATGACAGACAATTCTACCGTTGCTTCAAGATTATGCCTTGACCAATAAAAATTAAATAACATTTCAAATTCTCAATATAATGATTCATCCAATTAAGTTTTCCTGAAAATGAGGGTGGAGTCACGGACTAGATCTTTTGTGGAAGAAAAAGCCAAGAAGACGCTGATATTTTCTTCTCAACTTGCAGCTTCTATTATCTACAGTATAAAATATTAGTCATTACTTAAAGTAAGTGCAGGATTCTATCTCTAGGATTTCGTACAATCACGAGATGAAGGTTACTGTTGTATTTGCCAAACACTGTTATGGCAAATCAATGATCACGTGTCATTTCTTTAATTCTTAATGTCCCTGCTACATCAAATGAAATAAAAACATACATTTACATTTACATACCTTTTAGTACAAGTTGTTGCTCAAGCGATATTTTATCATTTTATTCTTTATATATGCGCTACTAGCCTTTTTGATGGATGTGATCATTTCCGATCTTATCAATTGTTTATTATGAGGATTCATTATGGAATGACAAGTTCTAATTTGTTATCAACTAATTGTCCCAACCCTCTCCTCATTAATATTTAGGCTTGAGACCGACACTATGAGCAAACTCATTATAGACGAACTTTATAAAATAATTGTTTACAACATTGATTGATGAATATTAAAAATTGATAGTTAATCTGATATCACATGTTAATTCCAGTAATGTGTAACTTAAATCCTAATCTATAACAGATCGAGCTTAACTCGTTGACTGTTCATGCTCAATGTTTATATATAAGAATAAGACATACTATTACATAATTAAGTACAAATTGCCTACTAACGTGAAAGAACAAGAGAAAAATAGTTACTCCTATAAGAAGTTTTTGCATCAATTCATGACAAACATATCCCCTATTTTTTTGTATAGGATTGTGGTGAAGTTGCACGCATGTAAACGAACACATCCAGACTTAGCTATATTTTAGCATAGGAAGCTTGGAGAAGTACATATTAGTTTTTTCAAGTCATCGAGCGAATATATGTCACAAATTTATATAGTCAACTTTTTTTTTTGTTGCTGCCGTATAACCAGGAGATCACGGGTTCGAGCCGTGGAAATAGCCTCTTGCAGAAATGCAGGGTAAGACTGCGTACGATAGACCCTTGTGGTCCGGCAATTTCCGGGACCCCGCACAAGCGGGAACTTAGTGTATTAGATTGCTTTTTTTCTTTTTCTTTTCTTTTGAAAAAGAAATATATATATATATATATATATATATATATATATACACGTTTAAGGATCTTGTTTCGTTCGATGATTAAGGCCTCCAACCTATTCAGAGATGGAGCCGACTACGTGCTTTTAATTGGGTTTTAAATTTAATGTATCAAGTATATTTAATGAATTTTTTAACATAAATATATTATTTGAACAAAAAATACTGAATTCGACGGAACTCGTATATGAGATTCTACCTCCGCCGTTGAACCTATCTCTTCTTAAACAACAAGAAAAAAAACTAGACAGCATCTTATAAAGTCGTTTAATTCATGATTCCTTTGTAGTGAAGATGACAGTCAAATATCACGTCTCTAGATCTGGTCTGGGGCAGACAATGCACTGCGGTACACTCTCTGATCTTTGATGTGTTGTCCTCCACTATTAGGGTGTAGATGAAACGGCAATTGTCCTAGCCAACCTGATAGGATTTTTGGGTGTCATTTTCACTACAATTTACCTTAAAACACGGCGTCAATAAATTTGAAGAAAGAATTGAACTTCATCAATTCCAAGTATATCACAAGTATCATGCATTCTTATAGGATGTTTAGGTACATTTTGCGTGCATGAATAAAGTCATATTAACACAATCATATTAATACAAACACGTTATTCTCTTGTGATAAAATTGTGCAGAACATGCGTATTTCTCACATTAACCAAAGGGGATGAGGATAGCATATTAGAATTGTGTGTAATGAAAAAAACATTTCTCCTGTTGTTTCTTGAATTCATGATCATATATATTGACGAATGAATATGCTATTCCTGTAGTTATATATCCCTAGTTTATCATAAAACTTCATACACAGAGCTCCAAGAACAGAGAATTAATGGGGTCAAATGAGATCAGTATAAAGTGAGAGTCATATGACACTAGCCTTCTATGCAGTAGCGAATGTAGTGTTAAAGTGACGGGTTCAATTGAACTCTTAACTTTCAACGTGGAGTATAATTTATATGTAAAAATTCATTAAATTTGCAAAAAATAATAGATATGAACCCCCAACTTTAAAAATATAATGGGTTCTATTGGTGTATATAGAAGTTAGTTTTTTCCGCCATTATTGAACAATCTCAAATTCAACTCAATTATACACAATCGAAGAAATTAAGGAAAAAGCAACAACGAGATTCTACAACTTCTACAGAAATTTCACGAGAAATGAAGAATACAGTGATGACTTTCTATTTTGAAGAATGTGAGAGAAGATCTTACTAGGTTGAGCTTCAGAATCCATGAATCTATCTCCCATGCTCTGATACCATG